AAAATCAAATCTTGTTTCTTCCCCTTCATAATTCTTCGAGAATGGGTCTCTTTCCTCTTTTCATTTTGTTTTCTTCACGAGTTTTTTCTTGCGCCTTTTCATTTGTTGTTTAAAGAAAAATAACTGAAATTTGAGTTTTGAATTGGAACGGGACAAGGAAAGAAAAAAGAAAAGAGAAAGAGAAAAAGAGGAAAGAGAAAATAAAGAAAAAAAGAAGAGAGATAAACATTAAATGAAGAGAGAGACAGAGAGAGAAAAAATAATATAATAATACAAACAGAGGGACTGAACTGCATGTGAAACTCTGCAGTAGGGACTGATCCGCCTATAAAACATCTGTAGGGACTGATCCGCGCTTTAAGTTTGTATTTGGGGATTTATCTATACTTGCCCCTTTTATATAGCTTTTATATAGACAAAATTACGTATTATATTAATCACCCTAATTAAAATATACCATAAATGCGTACCAAACAACAAATTAATAATTGTATTTCACTTACCATTATTAGATTGTAAATTGGGATTATTTGAGAAAACCCCCTCATATGACATTTACAATTAGAGGGGATCCATTTATTTTTCCACATTTTGAGATAAATCCATTTATTTAAATATTATATTATTAAATCATTATAATCCTATTATACCCTTCTTAACCTAGTCATGTACTCATCTAATTTGAACCGCCGTTAATCTATCGTTCCTCATCTATCTTCATTTCTACTCTCTTCAATTCTATAGCACACAATACTCCCCTCCCCCTAATAATTCGGCCACCCTTTCTCCGCCGACTACATCGTGACCTTCTCCTCGCTTAAAGCCGCCGACGACCACAATGGAAGATCCGGTTTCAGTTGCCGGCAGATCGATGGTTCGCTCAAAGGTGTACTACGGTTTCCTATGCCCCTCTATTTTCTTTCCATCGCCGATTTTTTGGATTTTTTTCGTGCATAGTACAGTCTAGCCTTTCTCCGTCTACGACTGTAAGGTGAAGCAAAATGCGGAATCAATGGAAGAGAAGAAGAAGGCAAGGACGATTGAAAAATGGATTCCTGAGGAAGAATTCCGCAAATACTGGTATGTCAAATTACATTTTTTGCCCTAGAAAATGCTTTTTATAATTGATGTATTTTGATTTCAAATTTATTTTTTTGGTTTTGTTCATATCAGTCGATTTCGTGACAATATATGTATATATAGTAGTCTGATAACTAATTATGATAAATAGATGATTCATATGATTTGGAAAATTAATACTACTATAAAGGATTTAAGTTTTGCAGGATAGAGAATAGTTAAATGATGGTTACGAATTTAATTTTCAATATTTTACTATCTATAATTATTGTCAAGCTCTGTGATTAATATTTAGTACTTCTCTTGATTTTAAATATGAAACCATGTTTTTGTGAGTAGGGGATAAATTTGATGTCATCCGTCATTATCCATACTTTGGCGGAGGTGTAGTGCGACGCCAACACGCCACCGTCGTCTTTGGATCTTCTTCGCCGTCCTCACAGAGAAGAGCAATAATCTGCTTGTGGTCAGAGCCACCAACCACCGCCTTCATACCTGGCGATTCACATAACGGCGCCAAGGCAATATAGGCATTGCCACGGCGCCACCAAGCGATTCAAATAGTAGATTATGTTTTTTGTTTGTTATTTTTGAGTTGTGTCAGTAGTGGATTACGTATGTTTTTAGTGGTTTTGGATAAGTTTGTGGTAAATTTCGGTAATATCATTGTGGATATCAATAATTTCGTAGTGGATTTCGGGCAACTTTTCGTTGTGGATTTTGATAGTTGTAGTTTGATATGCTTGTTGTGGATTTTCGTAATGGAATACATTAATTACATAGTGGTTTTCAATAAGTTTACAGTAAATTTTCGTAAAGGAATACATTAATTACATAGTGGTTTTCGTTAATTGCATAGTGTTTTTCGTTAATTGTAAAGTGATTTTCGTTAATTGTATAGTGGTTTTCGTTAATTGCACAGTCACAATGGTTTTCGTTAGTTGCATAGTGGTTTTTGATGAACTTGTAGTGGATTTCAGACAAAATATACCTGCTGCAGGCGCGAGGAATAGATGAGGGGGTGTCGACGCGCTTACGATACATAGTGGTTTTAGTAAATAGTAGTTTTCGACATTAAATAGTGGATTACGTTAAAGGGATGGGGTTGACAACGCGTACAGTGAATAGTTGATTTCAAATTTAGACAATGAATAGTGGATAGTGGTTTTTAGTAAATAGTGGTTTTCGAATTCTTACGTGACATTAAATAGTGGATTACGGTAGAGGGATGAGGTTGACAACACGTACAGTGAATAGTGGATTTCAAACAGTGAATAGTGGATTTCAAATTCAGGCAGTGAACAGTGGATTACGTTAATTTTTTTTTAGATAGTGAGTGTTCATAAATTTTGATGTGAACCGGAATAGTGGAGTTTAAACTTAGACAGTGAATAGTGAATTACGTTAATTGTACAATGGATTACGACAATTTAATAGTGAACTTTACGTTATTTTTTTTATAATTTTTTTACAATGAATGTCGATAAATTTTGACAAATGTGTAGTGGATTTCATTTTTTGGTAAACCTGCTGGAAAGAAAATGATTTTTTAAAAAACTGAAATTTTCAATAAGTTTACAGTGAATTTTCGTAATAGATAATGTTAATTATTTAGTGGTTTTCGATAAGCTTATAATGGATTTTCGTAATGAACTACGTTAACACATAGTGGTTTTCGATAAATTTATAATGAATTTTTGTAATGGAATACATTAATTACATAGTGGTTTTCGATAAATTTATAGTGAATTTCAATTTGTTAAAAACCTTGTTTTTTAAATCGAAATGTAAAAAGACAATAAATAAATAAAAAAAAAATCAATTTTTAATAACGAAAATATTTTTTTTTTAAGAAAATTAAAATTTTATAATTTTCTTATAAAAAAACTTCAGAATAAAATAAATTACAAAAAAAAAATACAATTTAATCAAAATTTTAAAAAACAATTTCTGCAAAAAAAAAAGGTTAAAATTAAAAATAGAATCAAACGTAATTTATTTTAATTGCAACGGTTTGAGATATTTTGAGAGATTTTGGGGATTAGGCGGATTTTTAGGGGAGTTGTTTTGGGAAATTAAATTAAACATTAAAATTCGAAAATACACTACAAGGGTAATATAAGTATTTTGCTATGGGAGGGGGTTATCCCAAAAATAGGATTATTAATTGGACTTATCCCTCTTAGGAAATTAAATAAAGGGGTTATCTCATATAACCCCTTGTAAATTTTGTAATAATTAAGGTCAAGTAAATAAATTATTAAGAAAATACAATAAAACTAGTCATTTCCTTTTATTATCCGTCGCCCACACTATTCTTCTCTTCTCTTCTTCTTCAACTTTTGCTTATGTAAGTTCTGTCTTTTTTTTGTTTTTTTTTGTTTTTCCTTTCTTTTCTCTTCTTTCATTCTCAAATCATCCCCATTAGTATCCATACTAGCGTGTATTAATCTTCTACCTTTCTCCATCATTTTTTTTTCCTTTTTTACATTTTGTTGCATCAAACTCGGTTTTTTGGGCCGGTTTTCACCGGTTTTATCCGTCCAACCGGGATTTCAACGGTTCAAAGACAACTGACCCGGTTTTTGGTATTTCCGGGTTTTGATGTCCGACCAGACCGGATCAGGCACCGGTTCACGGTTGAACCGGTTGGACCGGCCGGTCCGGTCCGGGTTTCAAAACATTGGCTAAAATACATATTTTCAGTGTGGAACTTGCCATCAAATGTTTCAACTAGGTGCTCATCTCGAAATTCAAAACTGACAATTAAGTAGGTCCATTACATATGGTCAATTAACTAGGTCGACTGATTTGTTGTTATCTCTTGGGAATTCGTTGATTATACCAGCCAGTCATGTTTAGAGCCTACAGCCAGCAATCATCCATGCATACATTTATACTCGACCAACAAGTTAGTTAGCCGATTAGTGCTTTAGTTTACACCAAGGTTGTGAAAATTATGAATTGGATCGTAGGCAGTTAGGCACTACCTCACTATTAACCGGCGCTAAGGTGATTAATCGCCAATAAATCGATTCATCAAATTTAGTGTAATATATTTCTAGATATTATTTGTAAATACTCAAAACTTGTATAAAAACTATCTAAACGTGGTATATCCTATCATTTAATTTATATATCCTAATCACATAATAAAAATTTCATAATAATAAAATCATAACAATAAAAATCCTTACAAAATAAAATACAAATAAAACACAAAAATTCTGATTGAACATTGCAAGCATATATATCATTAGCTCATTTAAAAGTAACAATTAACATAAATAAAATATATATATTTTTTTTATTAAAATCCCAACTTTGCTTTTTGGATTAAAAAAGTATATTTGACCGACTTTTAGCATCAAAGTTTAACCGCCTAGGACTGCCTCAGAGGCAAAAATCCAAATTTTCAAACATGTACACCAAAATGGTACATGTATTGAACCGCCTCTACCACCTCAAAGACGGATTAATCTGCCATCTCAACCGATTTTTTACAAATGTAGTTTACAATATATTTTATTATTTTATACTATGATTCTTACACGTTCTTGGTTATCTCACTAAATTTTATGTTATTTTTTTATGGATTGGGTGTTTTTGTTGGTAAAAATGTATATTTGGATGTCAAATGTTTGAAAAGTAAAAGAGAGAAGCAAAACGAATGCTGAGAGTAGAGTGCAGCAAAAATAAGGCAATGTTTGGTGTACCATTCGTAACTTTCTCAATCAACTTCCAATCGAGCTTAATTCAAGTACGTTTAGAAAGTCAATACAGTGTACGAAAACTGCAAGAGGGTCAAAATTACGTTTAAAATTGAAAAGAATGTGCAACAACGCATCAAATTGAGCTGTCATCTACGCTGGTGGAAGTGCAAAACAAGGAAACAAATAAGCAAAACTAATGGCAGCAACTTCTTTTATCCAACAAATCAAGCCTAAATAAATTCGTGACTAAGATACTTGATGTTCCGTACAAAACAACAAATCAGTTCGTTCCACTAAAATGTTATGGCTCAGTAACATACAATATAAATTGAATACATGGGGGAACCCATGAACTATAAATATAAATTGACATACAATATAATCTCACCGTCTTCTTCTTCTTCTTTTATCTGCTACACAAAATCTTTAAGAACTCACTCAATGTGTGAGTAACTGAAGCCCAGCTTCTAAATCTTGTAATGTGATTGTAAGTAAAGAATCCGAGTCAATGCAATCAAGATCGATCCTCAAATCCAAATTCTCTCTGGCATTTACTAGCATTGGATATACTAAACCTCCATTCATCTCCTTGCGCTGTTTTTCAGTGGTTTCTCGTTCTATCAGTTTCGCAACAGCCTCTAAACTGCATGAAGGGTGGTGCAATTTAAACCCATAGAGTAGACTATCTTCACACTGATTAGACATTTTGAGATGAAGAATATTTGCAAGATCTTCACAACTGAAGTCATCGAAGTTGAAAAACTTAGTGACACGTCTGCAAAAGCCCTCGTTAGAAGATATAACACGCTTCATCGGTTCGCTGTAGCCAGCAAATATCACAACTACTTTTCCACTGTCCATCACAGACATGATCTCCTCTAGTGCTTCTAATCCATAATCTTTATCGTCTGATTTCTGCATAGGTATTAAGCGATACGCTTCGTCTACAAACAGAATGCCCCCTTCCGCTTCTTGTATCTACATACATAAATATTATTAAAAAGTGAAATTAACTGCTGAAAAATATAAAAGAAATATAAAAGAGTTACCTTTCTTCTTGTCTTGGGGCCAGTGTGACCGACAAATTCTCCAACCAAATCTGTTCTTTGCACCTCTGTAACCTTTTCAGTTGGAAGTACTCCCACCATGTGGAGTAGTTTCCCAAGGACTCTAGCTACCATAGTCTTCCCTGCAGGAGAACTCGATAATTATGTATAGAAGCAGCGTGTATTATTATATACGAAAAAAACAAAGTACCTGTTCCAGGATTTCCAAGAAAGGCCATATGAGGTGGTCTTCTGGGTCCGACTTTAAGTCCAAGGGAACGACGCCTCTCATCCAAGAGCATACCCTTTGCCCACTTCCTAAGTTGCAATTTAAGTGCATTCAAACCAACTATATTTGACAATTCATTCTCAAGTGCATTCATTTTCGCTTTTGTCTCACTGCATGCTTCAATTGCTCTCCTTTTTCTCTGCTCGTCAAAATGCCATTGCAGAAGTTCCCTCAATTTTTCATTACCTGGCCCTTGTGACAGATGATTTAAAGGAGTCATTCCCTCCTGCACTCCACATTATTTTCTACCCCATCAGCTTCAACTACTAGGATAATACTACAGATCTAGAAAAAAAAAAAAAAAAAGAGAAAGAGAGAGAGAGAGAGACACCGTACATTGTCTTCAGCACTGCAATCAGCATTATATTCTAGCAGCGTATTGACAGTTGAGCAGTCTCCAGCTCGGAGTGAGTGCCATACAGCAAGGTGTAAAGGAGTCATCCCATTCTGTTAGACAGATACCAATAATGAGAAAATATCTCAGCAATCTAAGCCCAAAAAAAGAAGTTAAATAATATGTCATGAAACTTGAGAATCCGAAAACACACATTTGCTTTGGCCTCAACAAAAGCACCATTAGTTAGAAGCAACTTTGCAGCTTCATTACATCCATTCTTAGCTGCCATATGCAATGGCGTTTCTCCGTACTGCCAGTTTATATAAGAATGAAGGGTGTGAGTCAATAAAGCATGTTCCCCGCTGAACTCTTTAAGAAAGTGAAAAAGCGTTGTTGATTGTTAATGAATGTACCATGTTCTTGATCTCCAGTTCCAACTTTTCAGGCCCTCTCCAATCAAGAAGAAATTTTACAATCTCAATGCTATTGTAACCAGCAGAAACATGGAGAGGTGTTTGTGCCATCTATATCACAAAATAAAAAATGGTCGGGTTAGTTTCTTGTACAGACAGTCTGGTAGTAGAAAAGTAAACTGCATTCGATCAGATAATCTTTTATCTAAGCTATTCTGCATGTTGAACTTGTTCAGCACGTGATTAGTGACATCTTTCTCTTGGGAGATAACAAAATGCCCGTGTGGTGTTATTCCTAACTCTAGAAAGTAATTCATCAACCATTGAAAGAAGATAAAACAGAGAACAAGATCATCTACATAGTGTTTGGGAATTAATCTCAAACAGTAGCCCTCTGTTCTGTTTTATGTAGATGGCACTAATATCATTTGAGACCCACTAATTCCCATGACACACTAACTACGAAAACAAAGACAAAATTATTTAAAATTTGGCAACCCCCAAACAGAAGGAATCGTTTGAGTACGAAATAGCTTGTGTAGTATGTTAACTATATCATACATGCCTAAGAAGGTAAGTTGTTTTGAGGATAATCATAATCAAATCATTTTTCCAACTTGTAAAACCATATGCAAATATTTACAATAGAAAGGAACCTAGCTCAGGTGAGTTCCAAAAGTGTGACAAATCAATCAAATTCACATCCGGCAAATTAATATTAATCCCCGGAAATAATTCACACAAACATATCAGATTGATTCATGAATATTAGAAAGAGAATGGGGGAAGAGATATGGGGGGATCTTACAACAGGGTTCCGGTCATTGAGAAGAGATGGGTTGTCGCGGAGCAACTTCTGGAAGGAATTTAAATCCCCAGACTGCGCAAAGCCATGGATTGTCGTCGGTTTTGAAGATCTAGGCCGCTGATCCTTCACCTTTTGCATTTTATTCTCTTTTTTTTTTATTAATCTGCCTTGTGTTTATAAATTGAAAGAATGCTGCTGCCTCGGAGGAGAAACAAATCGGACGAAATAGAAATTCGAGGAAACTCTGAGAGAGGGAGAGAAATAGAGAGAGAAAATTGAGAGAGAGAAGGGGTTCAGACGGTTTTGATGAAAATGAGTCAGCCATAGTCAGTCAGCATGAAAATTTTGTTTGTGCCAACTTGGTCGCTGCTCAGCCACCGCTGCCACCAGCTTGGATTTTCAAATAATCAACTTATTAATCATTGCTTTCTCTTTTCTTTCTTCTTTTTTATTGGTCCAAATTAGTTTTTAACATGTGCACCCATGTTTGCTTTTCATTTCTGTTAATTAAGAGTAGAATTTATTGCTATTAGTACAAGGGCTGCGCATTTGAGATCGGTATTTAGGATCTCATTCCGTCTCGATCGGCATTTTACTATTTGAGATTAAAACTTCAAGAATGTGAGATGACTGGATTCGGGATTGGGATTAGGAACAAATATGGAATTGGGATTCGAGAATTGATTCAATCCCGATTTGGACATTTTAATCCCGAATTTGGAAAAAAAGAAAAAAAAACTAATAAAAACACACACACACACACATATATATATATATATATATATATATATATATATATATATATATATATATATATATATATATATATATATATATATAATTTAGTGTGTGGTGGTGTGTGGTGTGACCGTGAGTAATCTAACTTTCGTGTGGGAAAGAAAAAAAATGGTTGCTTAATGTTTTTTCTATGGTAGATTGCATTTATAATTTATATACAGTGAGGTTCCTCCAAAATAAATGTCAAGGAGATGAGGAATATGATATAATATATTATTTCAACTTATTTTTAATTTTTTTAAATTTTATTTGTTCCGAATTTTGTTGTAAAAATAAATAGTGCAAGAACAATAGTATGTATATAATATTTAGTGTGTAAAATAATAATAATGGGAAAAAATGCAATATTTCTTATTCTAGGCAAAATATGGGATTTCCCGATCTCAATCCCGAATTCCCGAAATATTTAGGGATACCGATATACCAGGATTAATAGTATGTGACGGGATTGGGATTTAAAATTTCTATCCCCGAATCCCGAAATCCCAATCCCGAAAATCCCGAATTCCCGAAATCCCGTCCCGAATTCACCCATAATTAGTACCAGCTTGTTATATAGAATTATTGGAAAACCACCACATCTTATTTGGGTTTTTGCATGTGAAATCTCTAATTGCCGAAAACACCATTGTGTTAAATAAATTAGCAAGAACCTACCTGTGAAAATTAGTCAAAGTCAAATAGGTCCCTAGTAGCTTATCGTGAGCTACACTCGCTATATATGCGAGTGGGTGTGCTTTTTCTACCTAAAGACACCTAAATACCCTTAAATTATAAATTTTAAAAATTACCAATTCACCCCAAAAAATTTCAGCACCAATGTGAAAGTTTTGAAGTTTTCAATTCAGTCCTTTATGTTTCCAAAAAAAGCCATCTTCTCAGCCCTGATTTTCCAGCAAAAATCAGTCGGAGAAACCGACGGACCACCGACTCCTTGCTTGAATCGCGAAGGAGAAAAAAAAACCGAAATTTCAAAACCCCTGCTTCATTTTTTCTGATTTGTTGTTGCTAAAGTTGTTTGATTATGACGATTCTCAATTTCTCTTATTCAATATCTGAAATTCGTGCACCCAAATGGTGGATATTTCCGAGCACTGGCAGCTTTCAAGTGGTAGTACGTCGGCGAATGTGTTGGTGCGGCGGCAGATGTGGTGGTTGTTGGTCGAAAACCTACACGCAAGTGCACGTATCGTACAAGTAATATAGTGGACAATTAAGTCCAGATATCGAACCCACAGGGAATATTTAATTACTTAATCCTAGACGCTAAATTCTAGCAATTATTATCAAGCCCACCCTACACAGTCGAAAGATGATTAATAAACTAAACTAAACTAAAGCAATTAAATAGATAAAAACAAGAAAGCAATTAAAACGAAGATTTAATCAATGAAAACGAGCCTAGGATTTTATTCTTCCCCCTATGTGATTATTACTCCCCCAATTCCTTCAATTATGCAAGCAATTAACCCGGATTATTAACCTGAGATGCTAAAATAATCATAACCCGCTTCCGCGTGTATTACGATTCTAATACTCTAGATTCAATTACTATATTCCTATGCAATTAATTCTAGAACACAGCATTAAGCACAAATCTCAATAATGGCTACCTAAGAGATTAACTATATTCCTATGTTAATACCACAAAGGCTCTTCTACCACAGTTCTAATTATTAACCCGATCTTCCGATTCATGCGATTAACAATAACATAAAAGCACATAAATTGATCAAGTTCATGCACTTAATAAAACAAGTAGAAGAAATAATCCGGAATTAAAACTTGCACAAAATCATAGAATTGGGTTCATAAATCCCACATAGGGTTCCAAATAAAATCCTAGAAATAAAGACTTAGCTACTCGTAGTTCTTATGATAAAGAAAATAAAATAAATAAATAAATAAGAAAAACTATGCTTGAGTCTTCGTTGATCTTCGTTCCTCGCAATTTGTGGTGTAAAATTCCGTGCTTATGGTGTAGAGAATTGTTGCTTTTATAGGCTTTTCTTGATAAGGAAGTAGTGGAAACCTAATAGGAATTAATTTCCGCATCTTTCCCCCATCAGGACTTGTTCCTCGATTTGCGTCATGTTGGAGTCCGAATTTTGGAATGTTGTGTAAATAAGAATTGTAGCCCTTGAAATTAGCTTTCCAATGACACCAAAATCAGCTGATTTGGAGTTCGTATGAGAGAGATATGCTCGAAATGGTGGACACTGCCAAAGCTGTGGCGAGATTCCTTCTTCCAATTTGATTTATTTCCTTATTTGCAACTTTTTCCTTTCTTTTTGATCTTTTTTCCTTCATGGACACCTAATTATCGTTTTCACCTATAAAACACAAAATCAATCAATTAAAAGCACAAATATAATTAAATCTAAACAAAAGATCCACGTAAAGTAAACGTATTGAGCGTAAAATTTACACTCAACAGTGGTCAGCGGTGAAATTTGTATAAAAAGTTGAGTGGTGGTGAACGGGAAGGTAGAAGAGGTGACATGTTTTTTTCTTTTTCTTTATTTCTTTTATTTATTTATAATTATAATTAATTATATTTTTTTCATGGCGGCCGTTATATGCAAGTCCATTTTTTTATTAGTTCAAACCCACATTAAGGGATTTATTAGTTCAAATCCATAAATTAATTTAATTTTATTACATCAAGATCAAAGAGGACAAATATGCCCTTATCCTCAAATAATACATAAATACAAATTAACCCTATTTTTTATTTGTACAAGACCAAAAAATAAAAAACTCAAAAGAAAAAAAAAAAAAAAAGAATACGGAAAAACAAAACGGCCGCACGACCATGGCAGAAGACCGCACGACTACCGCAGAAGACCACCGCACGACCACCGCCCAAGACTGCCGCACGACCACCACCAGACCGCCGGCGACGATCAGCAAGCCACCACACCACACCGCACCATCACCACACCAAACCATCTCCACCGCACCATCACCACCACCACCAACAAGTAAGGCCCTCTTATGAAACTTTTGTTTGTACATATGAAAACATCAATCGAGCATCGATTCTTGATAAATATGTGTGGATGAACATTAATCTATACTTATTTCTTGTTGGGTTGCAATGATTTAGGCTATTTTGGAATAAAATTGAGATTGAAATTGGTTTTTTTTTTTATTCTTCGTTGGTTCCGGAAATCGGTTTATACAGACCGATTTATTTAACAAAAATCGGTGTTATGATGCCGAAATTTGTTCACCAAATCGGCTATACAACTTCGATTTTACAAAAAAAAATTGGCGTTGTAATGTCGATTAATGATTACAAAATCGGGTTTAGTATACCGATTTTTTTCGTTTTTTTTTATATATATTTGATCAATTGATTTTTTTTAAATGTTTTGCAGTGGAACCTCAACCTCCTCGTGTACCGCCGACCGTCTCAAACCGTAAACGAAAGGAAAATGCTCAAAAGAGCAAGGTGGAAAAGCCAAAAAAAAGGTGTACTCCTTTTAATCCTCCCGATCGACGCACTCGGACTGATGAAGGTGCTTCTTCAGCAACAACTACAACGGCCCCCGCACTCGCTTTGTCCGCCCCACCGGCCTCGACCGTGGAAGTTGGTGCTTCGAGTAGTCAACCCAAACGCATCACAAGGTCCGAAAATAGCAGATTTGATCCCAAACTTCAAGGATCACATTTCTTACCGTATACTTTCCGGAGACGAGCGCGAAGATTTCAGAACCCATAACCACACGAAGAAATTGGTTACATGGGTGTGCGCGCCGTTCATTTCCGAGGCTGTCTCGAGGGCCGGCTTGATGCCACTTGTCACTTCGTCGTACAATGCTATATAATAGATGGTTATCTATTGAGGGCATTTGTGGAAAGATGGCATCCTACCACATGCACGTTTCATTTGCCTGTTGGGGAGATGACCATCACTCTCGATGATGTCAGTACACTGATAGGGCTTCCAGTTGTTGGTCGTGCCTCGTGCGGTAGCTTCGAATCGATTGCGACAATCTAATACGTGGGGAAAGACGTATGTTGCAAAAATGCTAGGTGTATACCCTGATTCGAAAGCTATGGGAGCTGGGGAGAGGACACTGAAATTGGGATGGTTACATCGGACCTTCGGCAAGATTACCGCGAGGGACTGTGAGATGAAAAGGTTATACGCTATTAGGGCGTATATTTTGTATCTCTTAGGTTGCACAATTTTTGTGGACAAGACGGGCTCGCTGGTTAGCATTGAGTGGTTGTGGTTCCTTGAGAATGTGGATACTATTGGCGAGTATGCTTGGGGAACCGAGTGTTTATGCTTCTTATATCGCGCGTTGTCAAAAGCGTCGAAGGCTACAACTGCACAACTGAACGGATACTTGACGCTCTTTCAGGCGTGGATTTACGAGCATTCCCCATCCTTCAATCCAACATTTCAGCCACAGTTTGAGGGGTACTTGGCCAACCGATGGGTGTATCCGATGAATTCGACGACAAATGTGGAACGAGCACGGCATTTGCATTTGATGTTAGACGAGTTGAAACCGGATGAGGTAAATTGTCAATTGTTTGTTAATATTTTTTTTCGATTTTTGAAGGAGTTAATAGTAAACATATTCGCGCAGGTTATGTAGGACCCATATTTCGAACTTCGTGATCGTTTCCCGATGCCCGAATCGGCGTGGTTCAGCGGAATGTTATGTTGCTTGGACTTTTTGCAGCCACACCATCCAGATAGGGTATTGCGCCAGTTTAGTCGAGGTGTCCCTACATATCCGAAACTATGGCGAAGCAATACATGGCGAAGAGATACAGGTCACGTGATAATTCTGAAATGTCGTTTGTCCCATTCCACGATCGTTTATTCGATCGATGGGATAAGTGTTGCTTGGATGTCGAGGCGAGATCGACTCCAGTACTTGATGGGCAGCCCGATACGTCTTCTGCGTATATGGATTGGTTTAGAGAGCTCACTCTTACTCGCCTTAGTACCGCTCAGGCATCTCGACCACATGCACCACGATCCAAGGCAGCTCGACCACCGCAAGACGTTGGGACGGATCCACCACAATCAAGGGACATGAAGATCTTTGACATGGTTAAGGGAACTCTCACCAACGTACGTCAAATGGACGTTAGTGATGCTCATTAGTACAATGTGGTCGACGTTGAATGAGATCTTATCATTATTTGATGAGACCCCATCGACCGTCCTACCGTCCTCAGCACTTACACGACATCTTCACCACCGCACATCGCCATCGGCA